TATTATTGAAGTTTTTCCCATTTCCCTTAGGTAATCTCTGAAGTACGTTCAATTTACAGAAAACATTTTAGCAGCACATAAAATTCTAAAATTAAAGTTTCTTATGGAAAATCTGAGCAAACGTTAGAACTCAGTGGCAGCATCTGTACACCCTTTATGTACTTTGCAGTTGAGATGAAGCTAGTGAGGTAGAGAAGGAACCAGCTAACTTTGGTTCCTAGAAGCCAGATGCACACTGGAAATATCCATAACACTGATTTGTATTGTTTTGTTTTGATCATTTTACTTAGCTCTGCGTTGCCTTTCTACAAGGTTGTAGTGTTAGTGTTGAAGGCATGAATTTTCAGTTCTGGTTGTTTTTTTAGCTTGAAGTTCCCTGACACCCCAGATACTGTCTTCCATTGGTACCACATGATGCTGTAATTATTTAGCACTGAGGCAATCCTAACAGATTATTTTAAGTGAGTTAAATTTGGTTCTCACTCTCCAACCTCTTAACACCTGAGTCAGCCAGAACAATTAAATCCTCGAATGCTTTGGGATAAAGGCTGACAGGCGTGTAGAGATTTATCTTATTATAATACAATATTTATGGTGAGCTCAAACAGGATTTTGATCTGAAGAATGGATACTAACGAATATCTTATGAGTAATATTTAGATGTGAGAACTTGGTGGCAGTAAGTATGCATAATTTTTAATTCGCCAGTCTACTTCAAAATACTGTGGGTGTCTGAGTCACATGTGCAAGTATTTCCTTTGAAATGGATTGACACTTCTTCTACCGGTGCCTTACTCAAATTCGAAAGTCATGGCATAGATGAGATTTTATCTGACCACCCTAAAAGCTGTTATCTGGGTAAGAAAGAAATGGAAGGTCAAATCTCCTGATTTGGGGCAGAAGCTTGATTCATAGTTTTAAAGGAGACTCCATAGTTTTCGTTCATGTTCCTAATACAGACAGGTGAGTGGTTTGAAAAGCCTATTTAGTTCCATCTTTCCATCCTGTTCAGAGAACAGCTAATCTGAAAAAAAAAAAAAAAAAAGACTGGACTAAAAGTCTGTGAGGGATGGCATGGCATAGAGGAGGACCTCAGTGTGGAGAATTTTCAAGGAGGTTTTGTGAATTTGTTGCTTTGTTTTTTATTCAAGTTGTAACCCTTACACCAATATCGTTGTCCAGAAGGACCAGTGATTGTTGAGAATGTTGTCACTTGCATATGAAATAAGAATATGTAAGAACTGAGGTTGTTATGCAAAACTAGAGATGACTAGAGACCAATCCAGAGATGGATTCCCCAACTGTTACTTGCTTTGTGTACAAGAAGCATATCCAAGTCCGTGTTCAAACACTCCAGTTGACATTTACTCCCCCAAGGAGACTATGTGAAAAAGGAGACCTGTGATCAAGGAGCCATATATAGACTTTGGAACAGATAATCCCAAACCATGTTTATATAGGAATATTAGTTGTGCTAAAGTCGATTTAGACTTCAAGAGGCTGGAGAGGTGATGGCCCAGTGGTGAAGAGTGTTTATTGATCTCGCTTTGTTTTATAATAACCTGTAATAAGTTCTCTCCTGAAACAATCAACTCAATTTAGAGTTAGATAGATTTGTTTCATTTGGATTTTAAAGTTTAGGAATTTTTTTATTTTGATTGAATTTGATTTACGAATTTGTGAAACTTTTACACAGTTTTTTTTATTAAGAAAAAAATTTTATTCATCTTACATACCAATCAAAGATCCCCCTCTTCCCTCCTCCCACCTCTCCAGCCTCCCCTCCCAACCCACCCCCCATTCCCTCCTATAAGGAGGTTTTACACAGTTTTGTATTCAAATCAAAGAAGCAAAGTATATTCAGAGAAATATATTTTCTTTCTCATCAGCCCTACTCATTCATTTTGACATGTCTCTGTGAGAGAAACCCTGTGTTCACCTTCATGAGACATGCACGTAGATACATGGTAGCCTGTTCTGAATACTTTTCTCTGTTTTGTTCTTTTCACTTTCACTATATCCTAGGGATCGTCCTATTGAATTAGGCACAGATGAATTTCACTATTTTTCCATTGATACATACACATGCTGCTCATTTAGTATCCTCTTGATGAATATTGGGGTTTATGGGTTTGGGGGTAAAGTATTATAATGAGTGTGATGTGTATGTATATATGTATTTATTCATATGCAGAAATTTAGAAGTTTAATTGCCATGACAAAATATAAATATATATGAAAATTTATAGGATGTTGACAAATTTCCCTCCACATCTGTTTTTCCCTTTTACAAGTGGTTTTCTAAGCATTTAGGAAGGACTATATACTTAATTTTGCTGGGGTTGAGTTAGCTGGGTTTGAACCTAAGACACTGACCATGTAAAGCATGTGTTCTATTTTTGTGCTACACTCCAAGCCCTTGAATATACTTACAAACAATGTAAAAAGCAAACATGATCTAATGCTACCATTATCAAATATTATCTAACGTGCGACTTGATTTTTTATTTAAGCTGCTTTTTACAGGGACAGTTCTTTGTGTAATTGATTTATCTTGATCGAAGCTTCTACCACCAGCTAGTATCTGCACAATGATCACACTATAATACAAATTTGTGAATATTCAAACATAGTCTCATTTATTAAAGACTACTATTGAATAGGGGTGGCTTGGGGGAAGGCTGGGGAGCGGGAGGAGGGAAGAGAGGGGGTTCTGTGGTTGTTATGTAAAATGAATAAAAATTTCTTAAAAAGAAAAGAATACTATGTAGGAAGCAGACTTTGCTTCTACATATTTCACCTTTTCACTATAAAACTTGACAGCAGGAATTATAAATCCATTCCATGTCTATAGGTATTAACTCCTTTCTGACATAAGCTATAACCTATAAATATATTCAGAAACCATCTTCTTGAACAGTAACTAACTTTCAGACTGGATAATGAAATATGTTAAATGCCCTTGTAAATAAATACTGAAATTTGCTTCTTAAGAGAATCTTAAGGTAGATGACAGACAGACTCATCTACCTTAAAGTTGTTGAGAGATTAGTACTGATAGTACTGACAAAACCCAAAGTAGTAGTTTTTTTTTTAAACTAAAACCACTATTCCTATATCTGCTTTTCTTTATTGGTATAATGGGGGCAGAATTAATTTTAAAAGGTGGTGGCTATTGATTACTTAATGGAAGAATATACTGTAGAGAAATGCTGAAGTGAATTTATTCTGTGCCCTCCCATGCAGCAGGTCCCATTATCTAGTAGTGGGAGGCATTTTTGTAACTCTCATTAATATGTAATAGGCAGCATCAGGCTAGATAGAGGCTACTAAATTGCCACAGGCCTACGTTCTAGTAGGCCATAAGAATGTCTCAAGTGTACAATGGGGTAATAGATGTCCTTGATGTATTCATGTGTAAGCAGGACAACAGTTCCCTCACTTCCTTCTAATCTCAGATCATTGATGGTCTGGTGGAAACACCTACTAGGCAAGTCAAAGTGATTCACGTTCCGGGTAGATCTCTAGTTTGGTAAGCTCTGTTTGAGGTGACTTGGTATTTTCCGCTGTGGAACACAATTTCAGCTATCTCAGCTCCCCTCTCACCACAAGCAAGAAGAGCTGTGGGTTTGTTCAATAGAGGAGGCAAGTAAGTCAGCAAAAGGCATTTTGTCTGCTACTGCGATCATTCTTGGAACAATATTCTAGAGCACAATGTCTATGAGGCTTACCACTTGTCCAGGATCTGTTTATTTCAACTCAGTTTATAAAGAAAATAGGAGTTTTAAAGGCAATTGGTGGTGAGAGGTGTGTCTAAGCACTTGGATTCTCTGGTTAAAGTGAACTTTGATTTCTGAGTAGACAAGTAGAAATTATGTAATTACTCACTATTGCTATTGACCTTTTCTCAAATTACTAGGTTACCTTTTCTGTAAAATCTATTCATTTCTAAAGCAGATTTCCTTCAAATGAGGTATAATGAAAAGATATCTTCTTTGGATTTATAGGTACACACACACACACACACACACACACACACACACACACACACACTCATGCACGCACTCACGCACGCACACATGCACATGCACACAAACCATACAATTAGATAGATACCTGCCATCCTAAACAATGCATAAAATCAAATTGATAGTGAGAAAGTCAATTTTTTGAATCAGTGATTTTGAAGAATTTTGAGTGTATTCAGGAGGGCCATTTACTTCGAAGCGTCTTAAGGTTATTTATAATTACCTACCTAGAGTGAATTTGCATGAGAATATAAATTTTAGTCTGCTGATAACATGTTGAGCTTGTCCTTGAAATCAGTGAGGTAAGCTGCCCCCTGCACAGTGGGGGATGGGCAGTGGGATCTCAGTGCAATTCCATGTGAAATGTGAAGAAATTCAGTGTTACTCTCGAGCTCACACTGTGTATGCATAAGTGTTAAGTTTATTAATAGGCCCACGTCTATGTACTCTCTTTCTGGTTACCAGCAGAGAAGGTAAAGTTAACAAAACTTACTAGTGGGAAGTGCATTTGTGTTAATTTTGTTTTTACTCAAAGTCAGAAGGCAGAAGGAAGATAACTCAGATGCCTGCTTTGTTTCATTGTTGATGGATGTTTATTGGTTGCCAGCTTGGTCAGTAAATACTGCCTGTCCTTTCCTAGAGCAAATGAGTTACTGTTCAGCTTCTTTAAAGTTTAGAATCTTCAGAGGCTTCAGTTGCTGTGTCAAGAGATTAAGTAATACTATAAATAAATTTTAAAAAAATTAACCAAGGTCTTAACCACTATTACACAAATCAAAGGAAGACATTTTATAAGTTTTAGTATAAAAATATGAATAATATTTATACCTTCAATGCCTTTTGAGAGCCCAGAGAAGAACTTTTCATAGCCTACATATTCAAAATGCATTTCTGAGAGGCTGTAATAAATTTATTACTTTCAGTTGTGAAAGTCACAAACCTTAAGTTTCTTTTCCTTTTCCAATTTTACAGCGCAGCAGCAGTTTTGGGAATTTTGATCGTTTTCGGAATAATTCCACATCAAAATCTGATGACTCAACTGAGGTTAGTATTTTATTCTGTCTTTATGAACATTATGATAGCATATTATAAAAGTTTATAATGTTAGGTAAGGAAATTAAATACATTTTTCAAGTCATGTAGACTTTCACAGAATTTTGAAATAAATGAGCAATTAAGGCCTAGTACCATGTTGGGCATTAAGAGCTATCTAAAAGTCCTGCTCAATATTTAGGCAGAACATGAATTTAAAGTTAGTTACAATTTAAAGATCGTTGTTATAATTCAAAGTTACATTGACAATTCCAAGTCTCCTGAGCATTTCCATGCTAAAGCAATACACATGCATGAGTTGATAGCATGCTAACTTGTTGTTAAATGGGCTTGATGGTCATTCTGATATGATGAGCATGCAGCTACTCCACTGAACTCTGTCACTTCTAGTGTATGCATTAAATGTCTTAGCATTACATGCACATTTGTAAACTATGCCTAAGCAAAGCCCACCATAACATTAATTTGGTAGATAATAATACTAGCAGTACCAATGACAGCTATAGCTAATTGAGTGCTTGTCATGAGGGAAGTATAGTGCCACCAAGTTACTTATCTATTTAGGAACTATTGGTGTTTCAATTTGACTGTTGAGTTTCCTGAGCACAATGCATTTCTACTACAGAGTTAACAAATGATAAAGGCAGAACCCAACCTCATCTCTGACTTTAACATGTGTCACCTTGTCATACAATCTTATTTACTTGGTGCCACCCAGGATGAGTGACTAAGGAAAGGTCCAGTAACCAGTTAAATAATGGGAGGGAGTCTCATCGAGAAAACTAAGAATGCAGCACATATTTAGATCTAATCCTCACCCTGACCTTAACTCAGTGAACTCACTAATAGTTGCTTTTAGATAAAGAGGTTCTATAAATCTTACATACAGATGCATCTATATATCATGTGTTATTTTTATTTCAGCAAGGGATATTCTAGATAAAATAAATTAAAATAAAATTTCATATAATATTATTTTTAGTATATCCATTAATATATACCTATATGTATAATATATTTTATTGATTTATGTAATATATATACATCAGCCATCACACACACACACACACACACACACACACACACACACATCCATCCCTGCCTTAGTTTCTGGCCAAAAGCCAACTCCAGGGAGAATGGGTTTGTTTCAGAGCATAGTTAAGGATTACAGTCCATCGTGATGGGGAAGTCAAAGCTGTAGGAGCGTGAAGCAGCAGGTCATATCAGATGCATAGTCAAGAAGCCGAGAGCAATGAAAGCATGCTCAGTTTCCTTTCTCCATTTATAAAGCCCAGCCAGGGACAGCGGCTAGAGTGTGTGGCTTGCCTCATCTCAACTCTATCATCAAGACCATCCCCCACAAGCATGCACAGAGCTTCATTCCCTAAGTGACTCTAGATCTTGCCAAATTGATTGTAAACACCAACCACTGCAATCCCTTTTTACTCTCTCTACATTTAGAGTGACTATGTATAATTATATATGGACTCACATGCACATATATGTATAGGCACTTATTTATGTATGTGTGTATGTACATGTGTAAATACACAGAGCTGTTTTCTCCTATGTGGTTTTTAACAAGCCTATCAAAGTATCTCAAGCTCATTCACTGTCATTGGAATAAGTAGTAATGGCCTTGTAATTTGCTAAAGCGTTTAGCAGAGCTGATAAAGTAGTCTCCCATTTTTCAGAAACCCAGTATCAATTCTTCCTCCTTTCCACAGTTACTAACACAATGACATGGTTTCTGTTAGCTACTCTAGAGTAGTGTTGTAAGGAAGGATGACAATGCCCACTTCATAAGGCCTGGAGACTGGCAGCAATATCACTTAAGATGATAATGACAGCAACAGATGTGTGAATTCTAACCAGAAATCTAGTTCAGGCTATGGAGAACTTCACAGAAAAGAAAACTAATTTAACATATGTGGAGACACTTTCTCTGAAGCCTCTATAAATTATGATGGCAAAAACAAACATTATTTATATTGCATTATTTTAAGCCTAAATAATAGTAACAATATCAATTTTAACTACATAATATACTTTTATGTTTATTTCAGTTAGTAAAATAATTTTACAATTAAAACAAGAAAGTTTAAGCAAAGAGAAGAGAAAAGAAAAAGGCTAATTAAAATTTGAGTGCCTCCAAATTATATTTTATTCTGATATTTGGAATTAAGCAAAGACTCTGCCTTTATAACCTTGAATGTAGAAATTAATAATGTGCAATGAGGGTTTAAATTGGCTGTCCGTTCGTATTTATCATAGGCAATTTGGGGTAAGATATGAAGCAAAATATAATATTGATTAATAATGATGTTAACTATGTGGTTAAACTCTCATATTAAAATATTCAAGCTCACTAATCAGAAGTTTCCCATCATTTTTTATGTTCTGGGAATGACTGGCCATCCACCTATCAAGCATGGTGGGCAGTACTAAAGCAGATGACCTTCATAGTTCATTGCTTGAACATGTGAGGTACCAAGAATATCTAATCCAAATATGTCCTTCAGGGGATGGGGGAAAGTGCCTCAAATTTCCACATCGGGAATTTCATTTATTTAGAGGATATTGAGCAACAGTTAACATGCCTTGAAGTACTCTTGAGACTGGAATGAAGCATACAGAGAAAGCCTTTATTCTCATGGAACACATATCATGTGGGAAATGCAGATAACCACTAAATGAGCAAACAAATTGTCAAATAAAATAAGGGCAGAGAAGAGGAATAAGCCAGGTAAAACAACAGGAAGTGTGGACAAGCATGGAGAACGACAAATCAGATAAGTTCTTTCCTGTTACTCTATGTTAACTGGAAACCTGGATAGCTTGTGAAATCTGTGGCAGTTTAGAGATGGTCAAGGCAAAAGCATGTCCAAACTTTGGTGAGAACCGTGTAAAGTAGAGCAGATGCACAACCATGGCAATATTTTGTTGCCATGTCTTCCAATTTCTGTTGTACATCTGTGAGTCAGAATCTCCACAAATGAGCTGTTAAAACTAACTGTCCCCAAATATTGAAGATGCTGTTTTGTTATCTGATAAGTAGCTAAGTGTGAGTTCTTAAAAATATGTTATTTTACACAGATTCTATATGATGTAACACATATTTTATAAACATAATATTGATTAACAATAATGTTAATTATGTGGTTAAACTTTCATACTAAAGTATTTAAGATCACTACAGAGAAGTTTCCCATCATTAATTGTATCTTACCACATGGATTTATGCTATGCTGTTGAGCTTTGTAGGCAAACACCAATACTTACAATTTTTTTTCTGAGTCAGAGAAGAAATCACTGCTTTATCGGGAAGATTATTAATGAGCATAAGGTAACAGCAAACCAAATAAAAGACTTAATTGTTATATATACACAATCTATGAATTATGTGAGGATTTCTTTATTAGTGTTGAGCCAGATACTATTTATTATTACCTAACGTGAATAATGAGCATGCATACACACCCGGTCAGATAAAACATTGTAGACTTCAACTGATTTAGCTAACTTCAAAACTTCTTTAAAAATCACTATGACCATGCCAATCTCTTTGAGATGCAAGAGGCTACTGTAATGCTCTTCCATCACAGAAGGGTGATAAAGGATTTTCTAATCCCTCCATTAAAATACCTCCCATCATATAACTGTAATCACTCATGTTGCCTGATGGTTACTTCTATTTTGGTCATCTCAAAAACAATAACTAAAATGATTGTTTAATAAATCTATTAAGCCATAGCTGAATTTCTCAAGGAATTTCACATGCAAAGATGAGAACTTTTGAGCAAGTTTCTTATGCAGGTAGCCAGCTAGAAATGTTTAACAATATGTGTTATACCCAGAATGTGTAGAGCACAAAATGATCAAAAAAAATCCAAACTTGGATTCTCTCTAAGGAGATTATCAATGAGTGCTCTTAGGGTTGGACACAGGGCTTAGACGTGGTGTGCATGCCTAGCATTTGAAATCCCTAGCACTGAAAAACACTCAACCCAAACAAATGATCTTCTTGATCATTTCATCTTTTGTAAAATCATTCTACATCAGGTCCATGAAGGGGAAGTAACAAATGGAAGTGAAGAACAAAAGAAAACTTCAAATAATGGAGCAAATCTAGGTAAAAAAATGAGGGCTATTTCATGGACAATGAAGAAGAAAGTGGGGAAAAAATACATCAAAGCCCTTTCTGAGGAAAAAGTAAGTATATTTTCTCATCGATATTTTTATATTTTTGTAACATATTCAGTCGGCTCTTTTCCTAGATCTAGACTATTTGGTGCTTTATGAAGCACTTAGACATATTTTTTTCCTGTATTGCGGTGTTCGTGAGTGCCACAGGGTGCAGGCAGACATCAGAGGACAACTTTTCAGTCTATTCTCTCTTCCAACTTTTACATGGGTTCCTTGGATCAAACTCAAGTCCTCAGGCTTGCTCAACAAGTGCCTTTACCCATTGAGCTATTTGCTTGGCCCAGTTGTATGGTTCTTAAAGGATTATTACTCCCATTTTAAAGAAGAAAATCCACACATTTGGCGTGTGAAGAACAGTATATGTTTAAGTTGTAGCAAGCACCTGTAATTCATTCCTTCTTACTACCAAACACTATTTCATTTATAAATAGTCTACATTTTCCACATCTACTGGTGGGTATTTAGGCTGTTTCTACTTTGGACATAATATAATTAATGCTGCTGTAAACACTTGTGTGTGATTCTTTGTATGAAAATATTTTTTGTTTCTTTTTGATATATGGTAAATCTACATCTAGTATTTTGAGAAGCTGGCAACGCTTGCCCAAAACTATGCACAATTTTACTTAGCCGATATCAATACGTAAGTGGCTCCAATGTTTCTATATCATGTCAGCTTGTGGTATTTTTTTAAGTATCAGCAATTAGCGCAGATGAAGTAGATTCACACTGTAATTTTTCAGTTATGTTTTTCTTCTAATGGATGATACTGAGATCTTCTAATGTGCTTGTTGTTTCTATTTCTCTCCAGAGAAACGTCTATTTAAATATTTTGTCTGCTTTTTAATATTTGGTTATTGTCATTTAATAAGTTTTAAATATTTATATAATTTCTGAATGAGTCTTTTATCCATTATATGACTTCTAAATATATATTTTACTATTCTGTGCATCATATTTTCATTTTTATTGTTATTTGTATCCCAAATGTTTATATAATTTTATAATAGTCCAATTTTTCTTTTTTTCTTGTTATTTGCTTTTGGCATCATACTTGAAATATTGCTTAACACAATATAATGAAGATTACTTCTGCCTTTTTTCCTAACAGCTTTATAATTTTAGCTCTTAAATTTTAGTGTAAAAGCCATTTGTGGTTAGATATTCTATCTGGTGTTTCGGGGGAGTAAAACTTCCTTCTTTTTTATGTAAATATCTAGTTGACTCAGCTTCACTTGTTGAAAACTCTTCCTTCCCCATTACATTGCCTTGGTAGCAATGTTTAAAGTCAGCTCACCATCAATATTGTTATAAACATACAGATCATAAATCTAAAAGTGTATGCATAAACTTTCAGGTCTATATTGTCAATCCGTATGTCTTATGCTCAATTTCTCTTTCAGCCCTCCTCTACTTGAATTCTGTCCCCAGAATTCTATCACAATAGTAATAACCCCTTTATTGCCAAACACAATGACACTTTGCTTTTTAGCTATAGACACACATGGTGACATGTTTACATGCAAAATTTTCTCTTTGTTTCTTTGAGCATACTTTGAACTTTTCTCCTTCACAGAACTCTTCTTGGCTTTGCTTTTGTTTCTGTTTCCCTAAATATTAAGTCTTCTCAAGGCTTCTTAAAATACTGGATGCTCCATTAATATAGCCTCTCCTCTTTTGTGATCTTAGACAGTGTTATGCCACTGTTTTTCAAAGTATCTCTAGATATGACTTCTTCACTTACTTGCTATATTAAATCAAATTTGATGGTATCACAGAAATGTCCAATAGATACCACAACCTGTGCATATTAAAAAACTGAAATTCTCAATATTTCTATCAGAAAACAATTATTTCTCATCTATTATTTCCAGTGGCAAAAGACCATACTTTCATGATTCTAGACACCAAAGAAAAAGTAAGGAGAAATAAGAATCACTCCAAATTCTTTCTCCCACTTTGAACATAATTATCATTATACATAACACTATAATCATTATTATCCTCTTGTTTCTAATGTCCAAAGAATACTTAAAACTTATTTTTTTTTGAGTTGGGCAGTGGTGATGCATGCCTTTAATCCCAGCACTTGGGAGGCAGAGCCAGGTGGATCTCTGTGAGTTGAAGGCCAGCCTGGTCTACTGAGCGAGATCCAGGGCAGGCACCAAAACTACACAGAGAACCCCTGTCTTGGAAAAAAAAAGACTTTATTTTTTCTATTCAAATTGTCCCTGATTTAAACCAAGTCGCTAGCCTCCCCTGCCTGCATTACCACAGTCACCTTTAAGTTCTGTCTATTGAATCTCCTATAAGATCCTTTCTGGAAAAGAAAGTGTGTGAAAAGATCTCTGAAAGGCAGAAACAGGGCCCATCAGGGCCCAGATTAAAACTTCAGAATGTCTTATAAAGGATCCCTTCATTACAGTGTCCTCTAGCTGGTCCTCTGTGGAAATAAAAGAAACACCAAGGATTAGTTGGGGAAATGCCTGTGAACTCTTTGTTGTTGTTTTGTTTGTCGAGACAGGGTTTCTCTGTGTAACAGCCCGGCTGTCCTGGAACTCTCTTTGTAGACCAGGCTAGCCTCAAACGCACAGAGATCCACCTTCCTCTGCCTCTGAGTGCTGAGATTAAAGGTGTGCTGCCACCTCCCAGCACCTGTGAACTCTTAAGAAGTGTAAGTGCATAGGGCAAGCCTTGCAATGGCAATACAAGGCTGACATCTATAAAAAGAGAGAGAGAGAAGAAAAGTATCAGAGTTTCTCTTTTCAGCCCTCTTCTGAGAACGTTTTGGTTAGATCTGTGGGGATTTTGAACCAAAACTTCCCACTAGATGAGCTCCTTTTTTTCTCCTCACCAGAACAGGCACAAATGTTATTGATAAGTATTCAGCTACTGAGAGGCAGTGAGGGTCTGGCTTCAGCACAAACACACAGGTAGATACAAAGGGAAATAACTGGAACCACTAGGGTGTATTAGTCCTATTTCTGTTGCTAATGGCATAACACAAAAGACTGATTATTCACAGACAGCCTAATTTGGTCACAGTTATGATCCAAGATTGGGTGGCCACATCTCATGAAGGCGTTTTTGGTGGCAGGGTTACAAGGCAACAGAGGTTATCACACAGGGACAAATGCAGTATATGTGTAGATGTTTTAGTGTCTATCCATTTGTTAGTAAAGCCACCAATACTCAGTTGGGGAGGCCCTATAATGATGACCTGTCTAATCCCAATCACCTCCCAAAGGCCATGCCTCTGAACAGCAAAGTCAGACTGGCTGTGCCTCTAAACACCAAAGTCAGATTAAGTTTCCCCTTTTATGATACCTCACAGTGGAAATTTAATGCACATGTTGAGTTTGGGGAGATGACAAACAATATGGAATCATAGCATTCAGTGTCCAACTCAAGGTTCATGTGCTTCTCACAATACACATTAAGATCTAGGTGTCATGTTCCCATGGCTACCACAGTGGTCTACAATGTTCTTCATGAATTGACTCTCAACCACTGCTTTGAGTTACTATGCAATTCCCTCCTTTCTCTCATGACCACCTGAACACCCAAGGCTAATTATGACTTTAGTTTTGTTCTTATCTTTCCTTTTGCTTAGAAAAGTATCTTCAGAAGAAAACAAAGTGCTGTTTTCTCATAATTCAGGCCAACATATTATAAAAGGTTATCTTCGTACATTTTCAAGTAGATTCTGGGAATTTGTTACCTTACAATTGAAGTCTTTGGAATTCATTTCGCCTAAATAAACTAACCTTTTTCATTCTTGCCCAATTTACTAGTTCTCTCAAATTATACATCTTATCTCCTTTACAACACTTATATGCTTCATGCTAATACTTCCATGTACATATGTCCAACTTCCTTAAAGATATATAAAGCTTATAGAGTATGCCTTACCCATTCAGACTAGAACATCATTTGTTAGAGTGAAAACCTTTTATCTGTGATCTTGTTTATTAGAGTAGCCACAAATTTTAGAAAGGTGGCAGGTACCTAGGCTGTGCTTTATAAACATTCCCTGAATAACTGAATGAAGAATAGATAAAAGTAGAGAATCAAACTAAGTCTATGTTTATTATGAAGTTTTATCAATGCTCAGTAATGCTCAAAAATAAGACTATTGAATTACAATGTGATGAGTATTAAGAAATTCATAGGCTTTGTCCAAACTTTCTAAAAATGGCAAACATTTGAGATGTTTTCAAGGAAATGTAATTTGTTTTGAAATTGTCTGTCTTTTCTAATTTAATGCAAGATTTGCTTTTCACTTGAGTAGGTGGCAAGCACAGTATGAGATTTGTAAAGCTCCTGAAATAAGGCTTGCTTTGGAATTGCAAAGTGAGCATGGTTTATTCATATCTAGTGATCTGGTAGCGTGCAAATAACTGACATGAAACAAATGTGCAGAGCTCAGACCTGTAGTATCAGATCTCAAAGGATTAGTAATGGTGGCGAACAGATAAGAGCGAGAACATGAAGAAGTAACGGCACTTTAACAGACAAAGCGCTGATGCCAACACAGCTAACATTTCTGATTAAATAATCTTGATATGATATTCATCTTTATTTTCAAAAACAGACCATTATAATTGTAGTTGAATTCCACACTAAACGATGTCTCATCTAGGGAATTTTTCCAAATATCCTCTAAACTGTTTTCCTAGAAAATGAACTGAAGATTAATGACTCTCATATTTTATGCTGATGTATTCATGAGTGTTTTATTGTTTAAATGTGTCTTGCTTGTAGAGTCAGTGCGAACAGTGAACATCTCCATGGAAATCTGATCCGTACACTTAACCTCTGATATGTTTTGTTTTGAAGGAGGAGGAAAATGGAGAGGAAGCCCTCCCATATCGGAACAGTGATCCCGTGATTGGAACACATACAGAGAAGATCTCCCTCAAACCCAGTGACTCCATGGATAGCCTGTACAGTGGGCAGAGCTCTTCAAGTAAGGCTGATGTGTAAGGGGTGACATCTAAGAAATGAAGCCTGGGTTAAACTAGTTAAAAAAACAATGAATGGTCAGCCTGAGGTTGTTTACCAGGTTAGAAACAAAGATGCAGACATTTGATGATAGAGAAGTTGAAGAGACTGGGTACATGGGATAAACATGCAGTTATTGATTGTGACACATAGGATAGTATACGTTGACATTATAGCCTGCAGGGCTCTTGTGAAAACGCCTCAAAAAATTGTATTGATAATAAAACCTGATGTCAAAATTGGATGCTCAGGAAACCTAGTGTTATCTCTACTCAAAAGATAGAAAATTATTTGAAATAGAGAAGTAAACTTCTGTTTTATTTCTCCTCTCTTCCTTCTTTGCTTTTTTCTTTCTCTCTTTGTCCCGTCTTCCCTCCCCCTCTCACTCCTCCCACTCCTCCTCTTCTTCTTCCTCCCCCTTTTCCTTCCTTTCTTTTTAAAAATTTCCTGCTTTTCTGCAAAGTGCAGGACATCTGCCTCAGTTCTGTCATTTGAATTTACCGTAAGTACGTAGAGACTGAAGCAATGACTAATACCACATGATAGATATGTCACCAGTCAGGTGGGAAAGAGGATTAGCAGGCAGCTGGAAGGATTGCTGAGTCAACACTGATATTTGTCTACGAGGTCATTACTCAAGATTCAGTCACGTGTTTCTGCTATACTAGAAAGTACTGGTGGTGTTGGTGCCTTATGTCTTTCTATATGTAAACTGTTAGCTTTCCTCCAGTCTCTTCAGGACTTTCAAATGTCACTGCAAAGTTTATTTTCCTTTTCCTTTGCAGTCAGCTACTTCTGGTATTTGAAGATGGCTTCCAAAAAGCCTGTATTTTAAATATCCTCAATTTTATTCATATTAGCTGTAGAGCAGTTATTTTGTGGTGAAAAACTAATGCAGGCACAGTTAAAGGATGTAGTATGTGTGTGTGTGTGTGTGTGTGTGTGTGTGTGTGTGTGTGTGTGTGTACGATTCAGATTTCATAAGTAACCATTCTGCTGGAACTTTTCATATTCAAGTTGTGATACTGAATGTGGGAAGAATTTTATTACTCGAACCCATGAGGCAAAGCCTGCACTCTCACTTCCATCTAGAAGGGAGGCATGGGGAGATAGTGTCCCCCTTACATGCTACATTTCCGTTCACATACAATGTGGAATGTCCTGCAGGACTTTCAGCTCATTTCATAATGCATGGTAGTGAAACTGCAGCTGTTGCCTCCTGGAGCAGCCAAGGGTCAGTCTGAAGGAGGAAGTGAGGAGACTGAGGGCGTGGGAGAAACAAGGAGGCCTTTCCATTGGTAACAGAATATGACACCACAGAAAGGAAACGAACTGGAGCAGAAGGGAATGCTTCCTTCTGTTTGCTTTGTTCTGTTTTGTTTTCTTACACCTGAAATTCAAGACCAGAAAGGAAGGAGACCAGAAAACAAGCATACAGGCAGATATGGATAGCATGGAGGTTCAGATACTTGGGCAATCTTCCTCTCTACCCCATGACAAGCAAAAGCATCGCCTTTGTAAGTTCTTTTTCACGGTCTTTGTACACATTCAAAATTCTGGAGAGGATGTTTATTACAATTATGTAAGTTATAGGGAACCCTGAAATGTCATGTGTTTGTCATTTATGATCAATAATAACACAAATGATTAAATTGTGTCTATCAAATTCAATCATTTTTGAGTATGAAATTATTTGTCTAGGTCAAGGTTTGAACCTGTACCTTGCTCCAGTGTAGCAAGTGGGCATTGCTTACTGTCCTTTAAGCTAGATCAGATCATAGAGTTCAAAATGAGATGGTATTGGAATAGGATTGAGGAGAGTATTCAGACTGGTAGGGAAAGAGTCAGAGCTAGCTCAGAAGAATGAGCTACTGAAGGAGTTTGATTAGGGGATTGATGAGGCTGGCATCCATTGCTCCAGTTCCAGACAAGGTGCAGGAGGCTGAGAACCTTCCATGAGAACTGTGAACCTTTCCTTCACCAGGTGGAGTAACAAGCTGTTCAGATGGAACAAGTAACAGGGACAGTTTCCGGCTGGATGACGACAGCCCCTACTCAGGGCCGTTCTGTGGCCGGGCCAGAGTGCACACAGACTTCACACCAAGTCCCTATGACACCGACTCCCTCAAAATCAAGGTGGGCCCACATTACATGTGCTTCCTGGTTTGTCCAATGCTAGTTGCATGATATACTTTAGGGACTACAGGAAGTATGTTCTTCTCATAGTAGGCTAGACCGGCCCCCAATGGGAAGAATTTGAACTTAATGTGAGATGGGGTGAGAGGGATCAGTCTACTGTGGCCACTAGCATAAGATAATGTAAGTGTCGAGTCTGTGGGAGAGAGATAAATTGTCTGCATTTTTCTGAACTCTGAAACTCTCAGAGGTGATCAGCTAGACGTGCCCACCTGATTCCAGCTAGATTAAAAATAATGAAGCAAAGAGAGGGAGAGAAGACAGAACTATGGGGCAGGAACCCAGCAGAGCAAAGACTTGGGGATCCAGATGTGGCTGGGCTACTCCAGTTCTTTCTAACTGGGTTGTATTGTGTAACCAGAGCACTTTTCCCTATTGATAACCCCAGGCCAAATTTTACCTTACAACAAATTACCCTCGGCTCTGAGGCTTCTAATAACATATTAATTCAGTCACAGTTTTTGTAGGTCATAAACCTGGGTATGGCTCAGCTATTGTCTTCATAAGGATACCCCTGGCCTAAGTCAGGCTGCCAGCTCTGCTGTGATCTCCCTAAGATTTGAAGTCCTTCTTAAAGCTCCCATGTGTTAGTAGAACATCGTTTCTTATACATCCCTATGAAACTATGCCTATGTGCCACTAAGGTGATTTTCTGGATCTCTCATAGAACACAATAAAGATCCCACAGTTCCTGAGGAAGGAAACATTCTTTGCCTGGGTCACCTGTCAACTTTGTTGAAATGTAGAAGTTTAAAAGTTACAAGGTAGAAGACCACAAGTGTAAAATCCTACAGGAAAGACCCAGTGAAGAACTGCCACACCTAGAAACTTGTTAGAGCTCCTAGGGAGTTTGCTGGTCTCCTAGGTGGATAGCGTCTGGCCTGTTATTTCATTCTCTCAGGGAAAAGTGCAAACACCTAGACCCAAAACCAGAAGGCAGACAAGTATACATACTATACCAAATCAGAGAGATCATATCTTTCAATTACAATCATACTCAATTATGTATTACTATAGCAAATAAAATTTGTGTTTCATGTCAATCATATATTCACAGATTTGCATAAAAATATAGATTTAAGCATAACTTTAAGGATAGAGCCTTAAAAGTAGCAAATATTGGGATCTATAGCATCTCTTTGGGATGTAATGTTGTATCTCAAAAGAGTAACTATGATTCTTATTTGAGTAGATATGACTCATAAAATAGGCATGTATTTTCCTAGAAATGAAATTTCCTCATAAAGAAATATCCCCAGGAGAAATTTTACTCTTGCCAATAATTGCATTCTATAGCTACGTGTAGTCTTAGATATGAATACACAAAATGCTACTTGGTTTTGCCATGTCAATCTGCCTACTTCATGCTTCACTGAAAACTTGGTTGTGGATTTTATTCTATATAAAATCTCCTTTTGACGCTATCATAAATTTTGGGCAATTCCAGTGAGGTCACATGTTACCTGGGAAACTGAGGTCCTTACATGAAGTTCTTAGTGCCATTAATAAAAGAATTAATAATGGGCTCAAAATTGAGGAAAATTTGATTGTAATTAAAAAAAAAAAACAGCGCAGAAGTTGTAAGTCTCCCCAGCTACAGGGAAGAGGGAGATGAAGAAGAGGAACAGAGAAAGACATGGCATTTGAGTTAGTTCTGCATGGAGGTCACCCACATGGCAGAAAAGCAGCCACATGGTAGAGATGGGCACAGCAGAGAAAGAAAGAAGGCAAAGTATTAGGGAAGGCACACTGAGAAAAGAGGTAAGAGGAGGAAAAGGAAAAGTGTGTTTTTCTGAGTAATTCAGACAGACTTGAGAAATTGTCTGCAGCGCTATAAGAAGGTGACAATTCTGGGGACTGATAGCTCTTTAGCTCACTAAAGGGCTCATTATTTCTCTTCTGCCTCGAGCACAGCTTAAGGTTAACCCACTTCCTAGTCCTTTGGCTAGATGATTGGCCAGACCAAACAGATAAATCCGTTTATATTTTGAGTACCTTGAAAAGTTAGGTCTCCACCCAGGCCAGAAAGATAGTTTTCCCCATTACTTTAGTTCAATAAAAATAATTTACATGGACTTATTTTATACTGTAAATAAACTATATCAGATGAGCTAAAATCATAGGCAGAGTTCAAGTGTCTTTCTTCCCCTTTAAGAGACCATGTTTGAATGATGGTTTGATGCTTTATTCCATATTGATTTAGGAGGGGGGAATAAAAAGGGATCCTTTTTAAGCTCACAAAACTTGAGTTTGAGTTCTGACACCATCTTTAACTTAATTTAGGCTAGAGAAAAGTCACTTATTATCACTGTTTCTTAACACTTAAAGCAATAGTCTGATGCCCCATACTAGTTACCTAATACATATTTAGTAAGCATAAGATAATAGTATATTTAACATGTATACCATGTATATTGTTCTGCAAATGTAAGTTAGTGAATTAATATGATAAGGAAGATAAAAGCATCATCAAGTATGCTAGTGTTTTCTTCACTCCATAGTGAACACTTTGATTGAAGAAGTGAACTCACATCTATTTCTGTAGTCTCTGAAGACCTTTAGCACAGCACCTTCCTTCCTCGAAGATTCCTACAGTTCTGTTCTTTGTCCATATTACCAAAGCATCGTGGTGCTGTGGAATTTGACTTGTATTTGTTTTGTCCTTAGAAAGGAGACATCATAGACATTATCTGTAAAACACCGATGGGAATGTGGACAGGGATGCTGAACAATAAAGTGGGGAACTTCAAATTCATTTATGTGGATGTTATCTCAGAAGAGGAAGCAGCTCCCAAGAAAATAAAGGCGCCCAGAAGCAATAAAAGAGAGAGCGCCAAGACTCTGCAGGACTTCTTAGAGAGGATTCACCTTCAGGTTAGTAAACCTTTGGTCTGTTTGGTTTTGCTGGAAAATGGGTAGAATGAAGAGTTGAGGAAAGTGGACCAGTATTTACACAGGGTTGTTAAAAATATAAGATTTACAGCAAAGGAAAATCTGCTTTCCTAGAATAGCTCTTATTTCTTCTTTATCACTTTTATTATGCAAGGACAGGTCTTGATGCAACACCCTTTGGACTAATCCCTAATGGTACTTAGCAGCCAGTGACAGCAGAGATTAATGTAGAGAAGAGGCAATGACAATTAAAGAATGTATATCCAGGAGAACAGGAGACCATGGGAAAATGTTTAAGTGAGAACAGTAAAGAGAATATGAAGAATATAATGAAATTTTTTTTCTTTTTTTTATTTTGCAATACAGTTCAGTTCTATATATCAGCCACGGATTCCCTTGTTCTCCCCCCTCCCGCCCCCCTCACCTTCCCCCAGCCCACCCCCTATTCCCACCTCCTCCAGGGCAAAGCCTTCCCCACGGACTGAGATCAACCTGGTAGACTCAGTCCAGACAGGTCCAGTCCCCTCCTCCCAGGCTGAGCCAAGCGACCCTGCATAGGCCCCAGGTTTCAAACAGCCAACTCATGCAATGAGCACAGGACCCGGTCCCACTGCCTGGATGCCTCATCCAACGACTGAGGGATCTGGATGCAGAGATCCATGGCTAGGCCCCGGGTGGAGCTCTGGGAGTCCAATTAGTGAGAAAGAGGAGGGTTTATATGAGCAAGAATTGTTGAGACCAAGGTTGGATAAAGCACAGGGACAAATAGCCAAACGAATGGAAACACATGAACTATGAACCAATGGCTGAGGGGTCCCCAAATGGATCAGGCCCTCTGAATGGGTGAGACAGTTGATTGGCTTGAATATAGTGAAATTTGAGGGACCAAGAAGAAAAATGAAAGGAAGCTTGTATTTTTACAGTAGAGAGATCAAAATGAAGTGCAAAGAGAATAACTAAAAATAATCATCTCAGAAGTAATTTCAGAAACAGTGATCATTAATGTTCTAATGACCATTTCAAGAAAAAGTTTGTTTTATAAGCACTTTACTTGAACCCATCACACCCATCACTGGCACTCCAATCATCTGTTTTTATAACCCTATTTTTATTATATTAGTACCTGTTAAAAGAAATAGCTCTTGTTAAGCAGTATAATATGCTACATAGTAGAGTATACACCATAAATAGTATCACTTCATTCTCAGTTTTGCATTCCATTTGTAAAATTCACTCATCAGTACTTGGATACTGCAATTCATAAAGACAATAGGAATTATATTTTTCCTTATTGGTATTTCTGAGTTATTAAGTTACTCTCATGTCTACCACTATACTGTTTAAGTTTCATTATAGAATGATTGATACCATGTGATACTTCTGGGAGGAAATAGAGTTTGAAACCTGCCTCTGTCACCAAGGGAAAAACACCTAAGTGTGCTAAACGTTGTACTCAGGAAGTCACAGTTAGATTGTTGTGTAAGAATGGAAACTTGGGCATGCTGTGTTCTTCTAAAACAGACTATTTTTAAACAAATTATCATTCTTCTTCCCCCTTTTTGGTTAAAATGTGGCTTGCAGTAAGTTTTTCCTGATTACTTAAAGTTTTCTGATACCATATTCAATTTTAGTAACTGAAATAAAGATATTAAAACTATATTCAAGTAAAATGGGAGACATTTTTTGAGGAAGCTGAAAAACCATTAACTTCACTTTGCATATTCAGTCTGTTAGAGCAGTGGTTATAGAAATACCAGAGTGGTGGTTCTCAACCTTCCTAATGCTGCAACCCTTTAATATAGTTCCTCATGTTGTGGTGCCTCAACCATAAAATTAGTTTTGTTGCTACTTCCTAACTATAAATTTGCTACTGTTATGAATAATAATGTAAATATATGATATGCAGGACATCTGACACACAACTTCAGTGGGAGTCACAACCCACAATTTGAGAACCACTGAAATACTTTATGATCAGAAGTCTAAGAATTTTACACTAATAGATATTGATGCAAATGATAGACAAAATATCCCTACTGAGGAAAAGAAATAAACACTTTCTTCAACTGTGAGCTTTTCACTTGTAATTAAAATTTTAATTTAGAAATGAAATAGCAAGTTTGTGATTCATAGATCTATAATATCTTTCAATCAGTCAAAATGCTAAACTCATTCTGTATACAGAATTGTGTCTGTTTCAAGTTCATTTTTACTTTTTCCATTTATTTATTCATTTAGTGTGTGTGTATGTGTGTGTGTGTGTGTGTGTGTGTGTGTGTGTGTGTGTGTGTGTGTGTGGTATGTGCCAAGGTGTGAATGCGGAGGTAGGGGACAATTGCAAGAGTGAATTTTTTCTTCTACCATTTATGTTCTGGGGCCCAATCTATGCCATCAGCCTAGGCAGCAAGCAGTTTATCTACTGATCCATCTCACTGGAGCTCAAGTTCATTTTTAGCTACACTAGGAAATTAATGAGAGTATATGTTTTCATGACCAAGCAATCAAAAAGAGAGATTGGTTCAGAAATATCACTATAACTTAATCTATTAGAGGTACTGTATTGAAAAACTTCAGAAAATACTGTGTCAATTTAACTAAGGATAAATTAAAAGTGCCAAATGGGATGGACAATTCAGCTAGTAAATGATCCATGATTTCCCACTATTATAGATTCAAGTGATTATTACTTCTTTACATTTGTCCTTCTGAAGGTTAAGAATCTGCAGTACTTCCTATTAAATGCCCTAGAGTTTGTTTGTGGGGAACCAGTGTAAACAAAATGAGCTTGGGCATCAGTTCCATTGGTGTTTTTGTTATAGGCATTTCTATAATTACTAATTTAGAGAAGACACAATATTTGAGCCCTACTAGTTTACAGGTTATACACATTTCCCTCTTCCTACAGGAATATACTTCAACATTTCTACTCAATGGTTATGAGACCCTGGAAGACTTGAAGGATATTCAAGAAAGTCATCTCGTTGAATTAAACATTGCCAATCCAGAAGACAGGATGAGGCTACTCTCTGCTGCTGAGAGTCTCCTGGATGAGGAGAGTAAGTGTACATACCCATTCTTCTCTTCCTGATCATCATGCCTTAATATAAATAGTAAAATTATTAAAAGCAAAGCCCCAATGTCACTTACTAAGAATCATATAAAGCATTCTTCCCTATAACTTGAGAGAATTTTTATATAATATCTGATACAACTCTGGCCAAAATGTATAATTAGGAAAAGATTTTCACTGTATTCTTACAAAAGGAAAAAATTCATTGGTCTCTTGTTTTGGTTCCCCCAAGCTATTAATTTACACACAGTGGATGCCTGTATTCTCAAACACCAAGAGACTTAGAGACAAGTATTTTAGTGACAGTGTGAGCCATTAGTGAGAAATGCCATACATGTCTTCCTAGAACAACACAGCCTGGCTCTGAGCTAATGAGCTTTCCCCACAACACAGGAAAATTCATTTCATTACCATATAGTCACATCTTGCATGTGTTTATAATACTCTCTGTAAATGTTATAATAGCTTGCAAAAATATTCAGCACTCACTTTTATTATCAGAGATGGCTCTCTGTATTTGTAAATATAAACTAAAGATGAACTAATAAATGCAGATTCATTTATAGTTGAATACAAGTTATGCCAGCTGGGCTTATCAAACTGGAGTAGATTTTATTTTTACAATTGCCCATTCAGAACACTATTTCTATTAAATCTAGTCAAACCCCAAACCCTGAGTTTAGGGAAGGCCAAATGCTGCAGAGTATTTTGTAATGGAAGAAAAGAGGAACCGAGCCGAGCCTCTTTTCTAAACACATGCAAATATGGAAAAACTAATTAGACTCCATAGCTTTGTATGTATAGCTGTTGTTATTGTTGTGTGTGTGTGTGAACAATAAATATAGATGTGGTGGGGGCTGGGAAAGCATGGTGGCAGTTGGAGGAGGAGGAAGGGTGGAAATGATGCGAATACAATGTACTCATGTGTGGTATTCTCCAACAATTTTTAAAGAGAAAAAGCACAAAAAGAGAATGGAATCTAACTTCATAGCTTAAAAAAACATAGTATTTTAAACCATCCAATCCAATCTTCTTTCAAATGTAAAACTAACAATAGCTTTCAACTACTTTCTTCAAACGCAATATTCTTAGTAAAACTTCATCCCAAGTTTTCATGTTTCTTATTTTCCTTGGTGCTGTTCACAGCTCAGATAGACAGTTAATCTCCCCACTTATAGTGAGAATCTGAGGCAGTAAGTGCCTTGTATCTTGAGCAGAAGTTCCTACTGATTTCAGAGTTAAGATTCCAGCCCAATGTTGGAGAAGCATTGCTGAGATTCTTAATATGGCAAGAAACAGTTCAGATGGTGATCAAGGAGGCAACCTGTATATAGCAACCAGACCTCTTGACTTCCTTTGTGGGTTATCCTGTACCTCATTTCAGAAGTCCTACCAAACTGAGACATAGTCTGTCTATACTTGTTTTTTGTGTTGTAAGAATTCATGCACTTCTTTAGAAACTTTCTTACCATTTTTTTATATTATAATTGCAGTCTTGGGTTTACACAGATATTTTTCCTTCCCCAACATCTTTGGCTTGCATGACTAACCCAACATCAGTAGAAATAATTCTAGGTCTGGGTTTTAAAGTTTTATTTGAAGTTCTGGTGACTGGGACATGAGCACAGGAGGATTGAGTCTCAAATGTAGGCAAAGACTGACTTAGAAAACTAGATGGCTTATTTAGTAGCGTGAGCCCAGATACAACTGGCCAGTGAGAACTGATACAGAGAATCTCTTAGGTAGATGAGGCAGCTTCTTTTACATCCTGTCATTTCCATTCATGGCTCCTCATTTAAAAAAGGTAAGAAGCTAGTTCTGTAGGTGCCTCATGTTGATCGTGTGTAGTGATGTAGCCAATCTCCAAAAGAATGTGACCGTCAAGTACAAGGAGAGGAGGGAGTAGAGTGGTTTCTGAATGTTTGAAAATACTTGCTGTTCTCCTGCAATTCAAAACGCCCATCTTGACCTGTTTCCAGCTGAAGAAAATAATCCAAAACAAATTTTGAAGAAGTCAAAGAAATAGATAAAAAAAGAAAAAAGGAGAGGTAGGGCTGTGATCAAAGGCACACTGCTTTAAAGCTCAAAGTTCCACCTTCTGCATGTGCAACCCAGTAAAGATAAAAATAAAAAATAAATATTTTAAAATGGAAACTTTCTGCTACTTCATCAGTTTCCTAAAGGGTAATATTTGCAAGATAGAAAAGCTAAAACATGCGTAGCTAAGTAGATTTTTTCAAGTCATATCTAGGACTTAGTCTCCTATGCCTATGAGGTTGTCTGTTCCAGCCTTTCCTGGTCTCTGAAAACAAAACACAATTGTCTAGAAACATCATGTGACTTTCATTGTTGGACGCATAAAGAGGACAAATGCCAGAAATTATTTCCCTGCATAAGACTTCTTAGAATGTGGTGTTCGAAAGTCAAGAAATGCTGAACTCTCAACTATTGCCTCTTATGTAGAAGCATCCATACAGAGTCTACTTTCAGGAGACAAATAATAGAAAAATGCAGACTTGACTTGTGTCACTTTCAACACACAACCCCGAGATTGCTCTTATTTTAATCTTATGGTATAAAATAGTGTTAGAATATACATGTCAAAAAGATGCATATTGTGTGTTAGGCTATTCTGACTGAAAGCTATTTATCTTCTATGAAACTGCTTCGCTTAAGAAATAAAGAAGAATGACTTCCATTTGTTGATAAGATGGTGAATTCTGATGATGCGGCACCATGCTGCTGCAGGCTTATTTTTATCTATCCTACTTTGTGAATCATATCTTCTACAACCAACCTAAAGATTAAATGCACAACCTTCATGTTCTCTGAATGATAAAGACCTTGAATATACGGTTATATAAAAGTGTGACATTGTTTAAAAAACCAAATGCATGTCGAAGTCACAGGCTAAAAATAACTCTTTGAAAAAAATAGGGTGCACAAATTAGCACCATTTATGTACATGTCTTTATTACTATCATGGAATAAGACCAGTTCATGTATGTCAGTCCATTCCTAGTTTGGGGTTCTATTGTTAGGTGAACATTTGGATAGTTTTGGCTTTGCCAGTCATTTAATATATAAAAAAAAATAAGCAAAGTGGGCATGTGTCTTCAGTGTTAAAACCTTGTGATAATTCAGGAAAGAGAATAAGCCAGATGTGAATCCTTAATGTATATAAAGTATTTAAAGAGGACAGAAGATAGGACAATGGGTGGGGAACAGGAATCTAAGATTTAGAAAAAAAAAAAAAAAACTTTTTTTCATTTTTCTCTTAGCCCAGAAATAGATAGTGTTGTTCTAACTTTGACCTTTATAATGTAAACTGGGTTAAATATTTTAGGACACTACCTGGTGGGAGGCAAGACTCTGCTAGAAGGGCAATGAGAGGTGTTCGAGCTGGCCATGGGTTTACTGCTGGACAACAACGACTTTGGGGTTCTGCAGTCCCAGCAGGATAATCAGAGGTATTCAGAATCCACTCCCATGTTGCATTATCCCTGAGCAGAATAAGGTCATTGGCTCTTTCACCTGGGGATGTAGCTAAAGTGTGAGACAAAACATGGGCTGTGAGCCAGCTCTTGAAGGAACAGAAAAAACAGGATCTGTTTACTTGGTACATATAAGGGTTCCTGTGTTTATGATGGGGCTTGAAAATTGGTGTCTGCTTTGGTAGGAAATGTTCTCATCAACTTGAAGAGGGGTGTGTGTGCATGTGTGTGTGTGTGTGTGTGTGTGTGTGTGTGTGTGTGTGTGTGTGTGCCTGCACATGGGTGGGTGCGTGCATATGCGTGTGGGCTGCTGGAGGTTTTCTACATACAACATCTTTAAAGCCCCTTTATCTTACTCAGAAATGCTTACTTAGAATACAATAGCTAACTGCTGTTTATAGTGTATAGTTACCAATTCTTCTGCACAGTTTCTTTCTGTACATTTGGAATTATATTGATGTATCTTAAATGTGTCTACCAAACTGTGTACTAGTGTCCTTGGGGTAAAGGGGTGATGGAAATACCTTCCTTTCTTAGCACAGAGGGCTAATTAAATTTTAAATTGTAAAATTATGGTCATGAAATAAGAAAACTTCACAGAATCAGTATTCAGTCTATTTCAGACACTTGTACCTTCTGATTTCAGTGCCAAGTGAGGAGGAAGGGCGAAGAGTGGGTTGTGTGCCAGGTTGTTGGCACAGGCTGTGGTCACAGCAGCCCTTCATTGCTCTACCATCCCCAGTTGTGCCTTCCTGCCTGCCCAAATGGATGCGGGGCAAATGGGAGGGCTCTGTCAGTAGCTGGAACAAGCATCGCTAGCGGGGGAGGTATGCAGCCATGGCAGACAGCCGTCCAGCAGTTGGCCCAGCAGTGTGCCAGTCTAACCTGGAGTCTAGCCCTGACATGTGTACCTGGGCTCTCTAACCCACCTGGAATATGATTCGAATCTGGATACAAAAAAAGAAAGATACACATTTTTAGAAAAATACAATATTGCTCACATAAACAAGTAGATGAGACAGACAGATGCGTTATTGGTATTTGTTTACACAATCACACACCCACACAACTTACTATGTTTCGAATCATAGATGCTTGGCTTTAGGATTTAATTTCTCAAGATTTATTTTTTTGCCGTTATGCTCTAAGATTTCATTTATGGCAAATAGCATATTCCATATAATAAAAAAATAAACAAATCAAAACATTTTTATCCTTTCTTCAGAGAGTAATTTCTAGTGAGAAGAACTTAGTTTTAACATCAGTCATATAACGACTACTGCAATGCCTTTGTGTGCATGTGGGTGCATGTGCATGTACGTGTAACACTCTAGCATTTGCTTTTATGCTACAGTGCAACTGTGACCTAGCCTGGGCAATCGGATTTCCTCTGGGCACACATGTCACTAGAGGGTAACTAGAATACTAGGCTGCAAGGATACATGGGTGACTCCATCTTCTCTCACAGCTCAGAAAAATAGCCACAACCAAT